GTGTGCAGGGCACGGTGCTGTGCCCCCACTCCATCCTGGGGGATGTATGCAGCACACCATCCCTTCCTTGTCCACCTGCCCATGCGGTGGCACAGCAGCACTGAAGAGGCATCACCTGCTGCAAAAAGTGCTCCTGGTGCCCGAGGTGCCACTGACCACTCCCAGGAGGAGCTCTGGCACCTGCTGCACCCTCTCCCCTCTGCCTGGTGCTAGGGAGATGCTGCCTGCAAAGGGAAATATTGTGTTTTGCTGGGGTGGATTGCCTCACATACCCCTCAGCGCGCTCAAGTACTTTGCACCAGCACTGCTGACTTGGAGCAATAAGAATTTAAGTGGAAGCTTAAAACAAGAAGGTAGGATCCATACTCACCAAGGCCTGCTGTCTCACTTCAGGTGAATGGGATGAGCTGTGGGGAATTATGCAGGCTGGAATGTGCCTCTGCTCCCCTCTGGCCAGGCCAGAGGGTCTCCCTGTGCATGGGGGGAGCTTTGGGGCACAGACGGAGCTGTGGCAGTACACAGGGCAGCTCAAGCATTTCGTGAAGAATTTTGGAGCTATCTTGGCCTCCAGTCAGAGCAGGCTGCAATGGGAACATTTCGAAATTCTTCTGGATGAGGAAAATTCCATGGGCAGCCCCCCTCCAGAGAAAGTTTGGGATGGCTGAAATGTTTGGAGTGAGAGGCTGCTTGCTTTTGTTTACTCTGAACTATAACACTGGAGGGGGGAAATCCAAATGAAAAAAGAGAGACAATGGGAGCCTGTAAACAGAGCTGGCCTCGATGAGGCTGGGGCTTCTCTCCAGCACTGGGGAAGGAGATGTGTCAGCACACTCACTGCATGGCTCTGCTTTCCCCTTCTTGAATACAATTGCACTTAATCTTTCAGGACTTGGCTAGGTTTTTTTTTCCCTTAGTAAAAAATGAGCTGGACAGTGTTTTTCCAACCTTCTCAACTTAGGCAGGGCTCAGCCCCCATCCCCTGGCCCTGTACTACAGCCCCCATGTTTTCCCCTTCTTTCCACTTTTTGCCACGTTTCCATCTCCTTTTGGCTTGGAGACTGCCATCTGATTGGCTTGGCAAGAAGTGTGGTGTGGGGGCATGGATGCTGCCCCCAGTGAGGTGTTTTCCCAGCCTCCGTTCCTGTCATGTGCTTTGCAGCCAGCTGCCTCCCCTGAGCCACCTCCACGTAGCAAATTTGATGATCTTGGAGGTCTGTTCCAACCTTAATTATTCAATGGTTCTGTGAAAGCAGGTAGGGTTGACTCCAAGCTTGAAGAAGACAGGTCATGGTTATCCGACCAGGTGAAGGGGGGTGGCATCATTATCCCCACATCACATATTGTTGGGGGTCTGCAATTTCCACCCCTGCACCGCTCTCCCACAGGGACACTGCTGGTGGTGTACAATAGGTTAATGGAACACCCTTTGGGCTTTATTTGGGCCACCCCTTGGTGGTGGCTTTATTTGCCTGCCCAGGTGGTCCTTAATGACTCCTGAAATCTCTCTCTTGCCCAAAAGGGATTTTGTTTTGCAAAAGGAGTGACAGCAAATTGCTAGCTGGGGGAGCATTTGTGTAAGGTGAGCTGTTTATTTTGGCCCTGCCGTGTTTTGGCTGACCCATGCGCCTTCGTGCCTCAGGGATGGAGCTGAGCCTGATGGCTCTTGGGCTCTGGCCAGCTTTGGAGCAGGAGGAGGGAAGGGGGAGCATCGCGTATGGGGGATGCTGTGGGGCCCTGCTCCCGATCAGAGTTCCCAGCCCCAGGCTGGAGTTCATCAGGAGCATCAGAGGGAGCTGGGTGTGCCTGGGACATTCACAGGTATGTACTTGTATGTCTGTCTCCTACACTGATGGATGCATGAGCTCTTGTATCAGCTCCAGGGCCAGTTTATGGGGGAACTTTGTTCTGGGAGATGCAGATGGTCCAGGGGGGACAGGCTGCACTCTGGTACCCGGCTACTCCACCCTACTGGGAGCTCTGTGTTCACTTAATTCTCTGCCAGCCTGGACTGAGCCCAGGAGCAGAAAAATGTCCCAAATCCCAAAATGTTCCTGGGACAGGAAAAGCCTTTCCCACCCTGCTGTAATCACAGGGTGGCCCAGCTCTCTGCTGGCAGGTCCCACCCGTGTCCCCAGATCCAGCACTGTGCCCATCCCTGTCCTGTAACCATGTGCCAAGGACAGTGGGGATGCAGCACCCCCTCCCACCAACTTCCATGCCTCCACCCTAAAAATAATCTCCAAGCTGTAAAGAAATCCACCAGCACAACAGCTACAGCGCTGGTAGGTTTCTTTACAGCCGGGAGATTATTTTTAGGAACGTCTCTGGCACGTGGCTTGGGAGAGAGGAGTGTGGGGATGGGGATGGAGAGGGGGGCGCCCCTTCTCTCCCGCCTCGGAATGCAAACGCTGCCAGCTGGCACAGTGTCAGGACTGCTGGCTGCTAACAGAGCCCTCGCTGTTTTGGCCCTTGCCGATGCCTCCAGTCACAACCGGGAGCCAGAGACGACTTCTCGCAGGATGGAGCGGAGGAGAGCGGAAATCAGGGTGTTGGGGTGAGAGTTTCCCAGCTGGGGTAAGAGCAGAGCCCGACCTCCATGGTGCTGCTGGCATGCTGAGGTGTGTAGGGGCCCCCCCAGCCCCAAGCACCAGGAACTGCTGGCAGCTGTTGGCTCCACAGAGGAGAGGTGACCCTTGGATTATGGAGGGATTTGGGCTTGGCTTTGGACACCAATGGGGCTGTGGTCAGCTGTGTATCACCAGTGGATGTTGGAGGGGGTTGGTCTAGTTTGGACAGAGATATGCATTGTATCTGCCTGTGGAGATAACTGATTCCATGGACAGGGCTGGGGTTGTCCCTGTATTAGGGCTGAGCTGGGGTTAACCCCACCCCATGGTTGCATTTGGTTTAGCCCCACATTTGAACTGTGTAACCCCATGACTAGGCTGTGCTGAGGTTAACCCTGTGCTTGAATTGAGCTGCGGGTTAACCCCAGCTGTGCCGAGTTTAACCCCACATTAGCGTGGTATAATCACATGTTTAACCTGTGCTAGGTCCAGCCTTACATTTTGGCTGAGCTGGGTTTAGCCCCACTCCTGGGCTGGGCTGAGTTTAACCACACATTTAGACTAAACTGATTCCCGTCCTGGTTTAGGGTTAGAGCTAGGGACTGCTAGGGTTGGGGTTTAGGTTAGTGGTCCCTAATTCCCCTCCTGGGCTGTGGGGTATAATGCAATATTTGGGTTGCCCTGAGTTAAGCCCCACATCATGACTGTACTGGGTTTAGTCCTATGTTCAGACTGTGCACAGGTCTTATTGGACTGCACTGGCCTCACGGGGAAAGACTCCAACTGGTTTTACTGGTTTAACTGGGATAATTCCAGTGCCTTGGGGTTGCACTGGCTGCAGCCATGCAGGTGTGTGTTCTGGCACAGCCCAGCACAGCATGGTACCCCCCACAGCAGGCATGGGGGGCCATGCACCCCACTGAAGTGAAATGAAAACAGCTCTTTCTGAGGTCCCCAAGGCATTGTGGGGGGGACTGGGGACAGTGCTCAGAGCATCATCCCCGCAGTGCCCAAGGTGGGCAAGGTAATGCCTCACCAGGTAGTCCTGGAGAATGTGCATGGCTCTGGTGGCCCTGGTCGTGGTGGGGGACATGCTTCCCTCCAGCACCCACTGCTGGGCTTTTAGTGGGCACCCAGGGAGGGTGCCAGCAGCATTTAGGGGACAGGGGTGGCTGTTGCAGGGGACCATCCAGTAGTGGAGCTGATGCTCCCCTCACAGGCGCACGTTCACACAGTGATGGTGAAAATCAACAGTGCTGCAGGGATGGGGTGATTCCAGGGCCCTGGGCAGATCAGCAGCCACAGAGACATACTCAGACCATGCCATGGCTCCTCAGAGTGAGGCATGGTGCTTCTGCAGGCCTGTCAGGTGCAGAGGGATTAGTAAGGCACTGTACCTAAGGCACATTTCCCCACAGGGAAGCAAGGAGAGGGAAATTCCTGCGGCGTTCAGCATTTCAGCATAGGACATTTTTCCTATATAGGACATTTTTCAGCAGTCACTGGAAGAGAGGGCTTGCAGCAGAGGGCCAGGGATGCTCCCCCAGCTCTGGGGATGCTCAGAGTGGTGCCATCTCGGGGGCATTTGAGCCAGCTTTGGGCCTCTCTGCCCATTGCTTTTTGCAGGTGGGTGATTCCATCAGGGCCTGGCACAGGGTAGGCAGAGCTGCCAAGTGCTCTTGGATTATTTGCCATATCTCTGTTGCAATGCTGCCCCCAACCATCCTAGGAAGAGGTTAAGAGGCACCCCAGCTTTCTGTGCTCTGTGGGGAGCATCCCTCATCTGCAGGCTGTCATCTACAGCCTTGAGGCACAGTGTCATCTGCTTCTGTCCTTGTCCCCACCACCCCTGCTCTGTGTGCAATCAATTTGCTTTGAAGAGCAACTTCAAATGAAGCAAAAAAAACCCAAACAACAAAACAAAACAAAAAAACACTAAGAAAACAAAACCCCATGTCTTTCAAAGCCCTGAGCACAATGGAAAGTTGGCTTCCCCCAGGAATCTGTGCTGGGCTTTGCCAGGCCAAGGCAGGGCATGGCACAGAGCAGCTGTGCCGAGGGAACTGTCACACCCGATGTGGACACTGGTGCCGGTGCACCTGGCCATGATTTTGAGGGAAGTTTTGGCTTACATCACTTCAGTTTGCATGCAGGAAGGGGCTTATGTTAGGATTTCTCCCCACCACTCCCCAAAAACTTTTGCATGAGCTCAGATGGTGCCCAGCAGAACAGCAGGACCAGGGAGGGATGGAGAGTGACACCGTGCATTTCTGGCTCATATCCACGGGTGCCAGAGGCTGCCTGGTCACCGTGGCCCTGCCAGTGACAAGAGCATCGTGCTGAGGGAGCAGGGTCCAGCACTGCTGCCCTTCCTACCAGGACCAAACCACACACCCAGGCTGAGCTGGGCCCCTCTACCCTGGCTGTGGCAACAGGATGTCACCCAGCCCTGGGCTGGCAGCAGGCGTCTCTCTGGCCAGGATTAGCATGAAGGGACGAAGAAAAGCTCTGATTGTTCCCTCTGTCCCGGCTCGGGTCCAGGACCACTGTGCTGGGACTCTGTGTCCCCAGAATGTGTCACTGCTGGTGCAAGCATCAAGGGATGTTTTCTCTGCCTGTGTGCCCATCTGTGGGGGTGTGGAGCCACCAAGGAAGGTAAGCCTGGCCACTCACATGCTTGTGTTCATTTGCACCCCTGTTTTTCCCTTGTCCAGGGAGTTTGGTGGCAGAAAATAAGGGGATCCTTTCTGGGCAGACTGTCTTGTAGCACCTGGCCCCCTGCCCCACTTCTGCACCTGGGGAAGACAAAGGCTCTGCGTCTTCTCCAGCTCTGTAGCTCTTTCCCCTTTTGTTTGTGGTGTTTGGGCAGACAAGGAAGGGCTTGCCCTGCTGCTTGTCTCTGCAGTGATGCTGTGTCCCCAGGGATCATTTTTGGCAGGGCTCATGTGGGTCATTTACTGAGTCAGTGTGTGTCTGGAGGGGCTCAGTGCTGCCTTGTCACACTGTGCTGGCAGGGGTACCCCTCTGAGGCAGGGGAGCTCATGGGGTGCTGGGGTGAGGATGGGGAGCTCTGAGAGGACCCTGGGACAAAGGGTGGTGAAGGGTAAAAGACGTCTGGCCATCAAGATGAGCAGTGTTAGGGTTAGATTTAGGGTTAGAGCTAGGGACCGTTAGGGTTGGGGTTTAGGTTAGTGGTCCCTAACTAGACTTAACCTCTAGGGTCATTATGGAGACGGGCTGGATACCCTCTTCAGTGTTTGAATGAAGAACCAGGTTGGTCAGGAGAAGAAATTATTTTATTTTAAAGCTGTTTTTCTCTCTGTATATTAACACACTCTCTCTTCCTCCTGACACACACACATACACCCACTCCCCTTCCCCCTCCCTCCAGAACTATTCCTTCACTCTACCCACGTGATTTTTGGAGTTATTTTTGGTTGCTGCTTTTAAGACAAAATACACTCATTTTTTGTCTTTTTTTTTTTTTTTTTTTTTTTTTTTTTTTTTTTTTTTTTTTTTTTTTTTTTTTTCCATCACCAAAATATTTTACTTTCAGGCCAAATGTTCCCAGTTACTTACCAGCATCGTTTTGGCAGAGACCTTTTGACTGATATTTCTTGGGAACGTTTCTAGGGTGGTTTGGTAGGAAAAGCTTATGACAGTCTCATGAAATTATTTACATTTGGGGCTTGTGTTTGAGGCTGCCTGGCACGCTCAGAGCAGGGTTGATGTGGGGTGCCGCACGCCTCCCCCCTGCAGCACTTTGCCTTGTAGCTCTTGTTTCCTTCGCCAGGCGGTTTGGTCTGTGGCCATGGGCAGTCAGCCACAGGAGGGGAGCCGGCTGCTGCGCTGGGGTGCCTTTGCTGGGCTGGAGCATCCCTCCCTCCAGCTGTTGGACCCTGGAGACACGGATTTATGCCTACAGATTTCTGCCTGCTCTTGGGGCTGGCAGGGAGCTGACTGCCTTGTGTGCCCTCAGCCCCTGCCTGCAGTTGGGACCAGAGGCCAACAGTGTGGGTGTAAATAAACAGGTTTGTCCAGTTGTGAGGGGTGGGCAGGGGGAGGGGGGGGGTCTTCTGGGGAGAAATTATTAATTTCTGACTGACAGAGATCGTGTGGCACTCCTGGTAGGGATAGTGTGATGCTGGCCAGGACCTCTGGTGCCCTGGGGTGATGCTTGCTGGCACAGACAGGGTGATGGGGCTGGGATGGACAGGGTGATGCTGGCTGATATGTCCTGCTTATGCAGGACTCTGCAGGTGGGTCCACATGCTTTAGGGTTGTGCTGGCTGGCACAGAACGGGTGCTGGCTGGGTGGATATTGTAGAGCACTGCTGGCTGTGATGGACAGGGTGATAGTGGTAGGGCAGGACAGGACAATGCTGGCTGTGTTGGCCAGAGTGACACTGACTGATGTGCTCACAGTGGCGTAGGTTGGGATGGAAAGGGTGATGCTGCCAGAGAGATGCCAGACTGTGGCAGGGGTTGACCCATGAAGAGCTGGGTGCACATCCCTGACTCTGCATCCCCTGCCCCTCTCACTGGGGATCACTGACTGGGAGGAAGGGATTTCAGCACCATTCTCCCACAGATGGAGACTTACCTGGAGCCTGACAGTGAGTGCAGGCATGGGCAGTGATGTGAGACTTGGTACAACCTGAGCTATCACAGCCCTGCTCTCCCTGGCTGTGTGATCCTGTTTAGATCTGATTGCTGTCACCTGCCATGCAAAGGCACGCTAGAATTTCTCCTTAGTTCCTTCCTGCCCCAGCTGCACATGCACAGGTCTCTGGACCACCCTGGGGCTGGGAGCCAGCCAAGGCTCCCAGCACAGGATTGCAATGGCAAATAGCCCTTAATCCCACGAACCTACACAGCCCCAAGCTCCAGGTCAGCATTTGCCCCCCACATCCCTGCTCCAGGCATTCCTGCTCAGCAGCCAGGAACCAGCTGTGACTGGGGCACAGACACTGCCAGATGTCCCATCTGGGTACTGGGATTCAGTGCCTTTTCTGTCTCCCAATAGGATGGGGTGAGATGAGAGGGAGATGCAGGATCCATGGCCCTGCAGGAATGCTGTGGAGCGTATCAGCTGCCCCATTCCTGGTAATAACACTCTCCTCCCATTCTCTGCCCTCCAGATGCGCAGTTCCATCCCAGGCCTGGGCAGGGTGATGGTGTTCCTCACAGCAGCCCTGGCATCAGCCTCCTTTGCTATCCCTGAAGACTGGGGAGAGGAAGGTGAGACCCCCCATCAAGCACCTCCTCCCCTACATCCCAGGCACGAGAACCCTGAGGGCACCCCATTTCCCCCAGACAGGATCAGACCTGCCAGGGCTACATGAAACACAGCCCTACATCCTACAGTGATGGCCAACCTGTGCTTCTGCTCATTGCCCAGCCCTAACTGGGACAAGTCCTTACCACTCCCCTGTGGTGATGCCTGCATGAAGCAGGACCCCATAGCCAGTGCCCACTGTGGGGTACAGCCCCAGGGGCTCCCCAGCCCTGGTGTGGGGTGGCATGGAGTGCTGACAGTGATGTGTGTCACTCCAGGTGTGCAGTATGGCCAGCTGGGGACAGACGTGACCCTACCATGCCCTGGTGTCCATGCCAGGTAAGTCTTTTTCATGCACATCAAGGGATCTGTCCAATGGGATGGTTTATGGGGTGAGCCTGGGCATCCCTGTCCTCTAACACAGCCTGCCTGGCCTCCCCTACCCAGCTCACCAGTGCAATGGAGACGAGCAGGTGCCATGGCGCTGCCGGAGGGCTCGGCCATGCAGCAGGGATCCCTGGTGCTGCCACGCGCCAGCTTGGCCTTCATGGGAACCTACAGCTGCCATGGCGAGGACGGTGGCCTCCTGCACACTGTGTCCCTGCGCCTGGGGCGTGAGTAGCATGTCTGTGAGCTGGGCTCTTCTAGGGGGAGCGTGCTCCCTGCCAGGAGCTTGCCAAAACGGGGCTTGGTGTTGACGCGGCATCCCTGTGTGCTGGATGGGCTGCAGGATGGGGGACTCCTCGCTGATTGCTGTTTCCCCCGGACCCCAGACCTTCCTGGAGTCCCCTTTGTGTCCTGCAGAGCATCTGACTATGAGAATTTCTCTTGCTCCTGGACCTCCAGTGTGGAGACCTTCCTCCCCACCAGATACATCACCACATACAGGTGAAGTATCCCCACAGGACATGGATTTCGCTTGTTATGGTGTGAGCTCTGAGTCACAGCCAAGGATAACCACCAAATCCATCTGGCCATCCCACACACGTCCTGGGCTCACCTCCTGCCCCAAGGACCATGCTGCATCCCAGAGCAGGTCCTGTTTTGGGGTGAGCAGAGCACCAAACATTTGCTTGCCCTCAGCGTGGGTCTCAGCAGCACTGGGGGGCTGGCACAGGCAGGCTCCCTCCCTACTGACAGCTCTGCCAGCACCAGAGGGGCAATAAAAAAAGAGAAGCAGGTCATCTGCAAGCCTCCACGCTCCAGCATGCTTTGGGATGAAAGGAGCCCTGACAGCATTGCTGCTTCTAATTATCCCTGCAAGCCAAATTAGCGGGCGGCTTTGAAGTCCAATGGAGCTCATAAAGCACAGCTCTGCTGAAAGCTGCAAGAGCTGAGGGCTTGGTGGGGAGGGGGCTGAGAGGAGCATCAGAGACTCCACAGGGAGGAGGAATGGATTTAGGGGGCTTTAGGGGGAGGGTGAAGTCAGGCTCTGGGGAGCTGCTTTTATCAGTGCCTCTGAGTCTTTGCTGCTGTGTGATGAAATCTCAGGGAAGGGTGTCCCATTTATTTTCCCTGGGATCCCCAGCTCCTGCTGTCAGGCTGTTCATTAGAAGAGTTGGACATGGACATGTCACATGTGTATGTCAGCATGGGAGTGTGGGGCTGCTTTGCAGTGTGGACTCCTGTCCCTCCTCTGGGTCATGGTGGGGTTCACTTTGTGCTGCCCCCTCATCCTAATCATCTGCTTTTCCCTCTGTCTCCATGGCAGGAAGAAATCCCTGACAGGCGAAGAAAAGCGGAGGTAGGACTGACTCCCACCCTGCTCCTGTTCTAGGGACTGGCCCCCATCCCAAAGGCTCTGCTGCTGTCTTCAGCAGGGACCCCAGAGCAAGAGCTGGGGGTCCCTATCAGGGAGCCAGCTACCTCCCAGCTACCTTGGGAGTCTGGGAGAAGGGTTTGCCTCAAGGAGAAAGGTTTGCCTCGGGGAGGGACCTTCCCAGGCAGAGTGTGGAGCTGGGAAAAGAGTCCCTTCTTTCATGCTCAGAGGGATATGCTGGACTCTGGAAGGGTGAGAGCAGCTGAGCCAGCACGGCTGCCTCCTCCACCAGGGTCTTGGCATTGGGGTCTCCTATGGCACCTCTTTGGCAGCATTTGGAAGCTGTGCATGGTGGGCAGGTAGGATGTGTCACCACCCTTTCTCCCTGTCTGCAGGAACAAGAATGGGCACGTGGGGCTGTGCCTGCAGGATCCATCCCACCCCGGCACCTGCACCGTCCACAGGTCAGAGTTCTGGAGCTCCTACCGCCTGAACATCACCGAGGTGAACCCCCTGGGCTTCAGCTACCGCCTTCTTGATGTCACCATGCAGGCCATCAGTGAGTCCCCATCCATCTATCTGTCTCTCCCGCTGTTTGTCCATGCCTGGGCAGTTCCCTGTGGGCGATAGGAGGGACCCCTACCCCGCTGTGCACGGCATGCAGGGTGACAAGGGCTTCCTGTCCTTTCCCACACAGTTAAGCCAGACCCTCCGGAGGGCTTGGTGGTGGAGCCCATCCCCCTGGCCCCACGCCGACTCCATGTGAGCTGGAAGTACCCTTCCTCCTGGCCAAAGGAACCCCACTTCCAGTTAAGGTTTCGGCTCCAGTACCGGCCCGTCATCCACCGTTCCTGGTCCGTGGTAAGTGTGCAAGGAAAGGCAGGGCTGGCACAGGAGCAGGCTGTGCATGGGGCCAGGGAGGGCAGTGAGGGATGCCCCTGCCTGCCCCACAGCTCCCCTCTGCCTGGCACAGGTAGAGACGGTGAATCTGTCTGAGGTTATCACAGATGCCTTCACTGGGCTGGAGCACGTGGTCCAAGTCAGTGCCAAGGATTTCCTGGATGCGGGGAATTGGAGTGAGTGGAGTGCTGAGGCCCGGGCAACACCTGTCAGAGGTAAGAGTGGGACAGGCTGCAGCCCCCAGCAGCCTATCATCTAGTGTCTCCAGAACCCCAGACTGCCCCTCTTCGGTCCCTTCCCCATGGCACTCATTCCCCCAGATATCAACAAGAGTAAGTCTCAACTCCATGGCCACTTAAGGTTGGGAAGCAGAGCTGCAGGAACAGAAAGTATCTCCCAGCCCATGTTAGCCTGCAGCTGTGCTGATGCCATTTGGGCATTGCTCCACACAGGCTTGGGACAGAATGGGGTTTCCAAAGCACCATTAGTACCTCAGTGGCACCCTTGGGCTCTTGGCACTTCTGGGGCACAAGGATACCCTTCCACACTCCTATCTGTGGGTCCCTGGGGTGCTGCATATGCTTTTGGTGAGTGTTTCCATCCCTTCTGTCCTTCCAGACCTGGCCTCCACAGCAAGTGAAGAAACCACTACAGATGCCAGACTGGAGAGCCTGGCTGAGGAGCCCTCCCAGGCTCCCAACCCTGAGCCCATCAGTGAGTATAGCTAGGGGTGGTGGGCAGGAGTGCCATGTGTGTGTCTGAGAGCCATGGCAAGGGAGTCTTGCTCCAAGCCTGTGTGTGGCTGGGCTGCTGGAGTATCCAGGAGCTTGCCATAGGGTCCCCAGTTGCTGGGGACTATGGCATCCCTTGGCTGTGACAGTCTCTCTGCCCCAGATCGCAGTGACCCCTTGGAGAAGATGGCCGTCCTGGTGTCCCTTGGGATCTTTGCCTTCTTCATCCTGGCTGCTGTTCTTGTCATCACCATCCTCATCTGGTAGGCTGGGTTTTGAGTAGGAGGGGCTGTAGGATTGCTGTCCCCATCCCATCCTGAACCCTCTGTTCATAGAGTGCCCTGTCATCCCCCAGCCCTATTCTAGGTCACTGCCAAAACATACCTGATGCTTCATAGGGTGGTTTATGTTCCCCTTGCCCCTGTCCCACACCAGTGCCTCTTCCCAGCACACCCACCCCAGCACACTTCCCAGCCTGCCTGGGCTCTTTCTAATGACACCAGATCCAAGGGACCTTTCTCTGAATCCCCTCAACATGCTGCTCCTTCTAGTATCCTCCCAAAGGCTCCTGCTGGGGAGTCTCACGCTCCAGAGTCAGAACAGACACCCCTCCATGTAACTTTTCTCCCTGGGAATCCTGTTCCCAGGTCCCCTCTCATCCTGCCACCATGGGGTGTCCCTATCATGCTCTGGCTCTGCTGTCAGTCCCTGTTCCCATCCCAATCCTATTCTAACCAGTGACCAGTTCTAGCTGTAGCCCTGGAGCTGACCCACGGGAGAGGTTAAGCTGTGCTGGGCATGTTTGGACACAGCTGGATGGAAGCACAGCAGGATCACTGGGAATGTGGGCAATCCTGATGCTCAGGGAGGCTGCTTGGGGTCTTCAACCACCATTGCTCTCATCCCCAGGCTCCGGGTGAGGAAACATGGTAAAGACAAGACCAAACCAAACTTTCTGGTTGCTGCCACCCACTTGAGGGCACTACCAAGTGAGTCGGGGTGCAGGGTGAGGAATGGGGGGGAATGTGGGGCAGGGAACGCAGAGCATGGGGCAGGTCAGTGTCTCCAGTGTCCTGCTTGACCCCCTGTCCTCTCTCTCGGCAGAAGCTCAGATCCTGTAGAGAGCCCTGGCCGATCCCTGCTCCCTGCACCTGCTTGCCCATGCGTGGGACTTGATGCCACTGCTGGCCCCCAAGGACCCCACGCCTCCTGGGTCACCCCACAGCTGTGGACATTGCCGGAGCCCCCAACACCCTGGGGTTGCAGGATGGATCCTAAGGAGAGAGAGACTCTGCTCTCAGGAGCGTTGGACTGCCTGAGCCCACCAGGAGCCACCTGGAGTCACTTCAGGCTCAGGGTGACAGGCCAGCTCCACCTCCGAGCGCTGCTAAACAAATGGGGATAAGACACTGAGCCAGCCCCACTTCACTGCCTAGTGTTGAGGGGAACCGTGGGTGTAGGCTCCCGGGGGTGCCGGGCATCAGTGCCAGAACAAGGGGTGCTGATCCCTGCCTGTCACCCCCCACCAGCCGCCAGCAGGCAGAAGAGAACACCCCCTGCCCCTTCCCTCTGCCCCAATCCCCCGTGCTGTGGCTGGACGGAGCAGCGATGCCAATAAAGGGGATATGCCAATGCTATCATTGGCACTGTCCAGGCAAAACCCTTTGCAGATGATGCTGTTCCAAGGGAGGAATGAGTGCCAGCTTGGGAATGGTCCTTGCAGGAGGTGCACAGGCAGCAAGGCTGCCTCCCAATCTCTTCAGCCCTCTCCCCAGCTGCCTGGAGGGGCTGAGAGACCCATGCCAAGGCTAAGTGCCAGAAGAGGATGCAGACATTCCCCTTGCCCTCACCAGTGTGATAGCTGAGACAGGACCCTCTGCACAGCCCCCCTTGCTCTGCATGTGGCCCCCTTGCTGCACCTCGACCCAGCCCCTCTAATGGCTTCCATGTGTTGGCACCTCCCGACCCTGGTGCTCAGTGCCAGCAGCCCAACGAGATCCAGATGGAGCTGGGTGGAAATTCAGACAGCAGCAACGCGTGGAGCGCGGGGAGCAGAACCAGTGCAGGGTCCTGGGGCTGCCTGTGAACCCACGATGCAGAGGGAGCCTGGACTGGGACACCCACAAAGGGTCCTTGTGTGGACTGGGTTGGAGGGAACTGGGGCAGGCTGTGCCTTTTGCAATGTGTTTTGTGCCCACAGGCTCCCTGCTGCTCTCACTGGGTGCCCTAGCTGTGGGGTCATGAGGGCTCTCCATGCTTGGCTCTGTGGGGTTGCAGCCCCTCACTGTCCCTCATGAGCACAGACACGCTGAATGAGAGAGATGGTGGTCAGTCCTCTATCTGCAGTGTGCTACTAGCATGGCACTATCCCTGGACCAGAGCAGAGCTCTCACAGGGCAGGTAAGGCAAGTCACTAAGCTGGGGAGGTGTAAAGAGGCAGATCTTGCCTGGATTTCCAGGCACATCACCTCTCCCAGGTGTATCCCACAGCTTGACAGCTCCAGCTATATCACACTGCCATCATCTGCTGGGCTCTGGTCCCCAGCATCCAACCAGCCAACACACATTCTGATGTGTCACACAGCCACTCTTGTCTTGTCATGGTCACCTTGTCTCTTCTCAGTCCCCAGCATGGCATGGGCAGCCTTTACCATTGGAAACCTCCTCTTATCACCACCAGATCCCACTCCTCTGCCACTGTGGAAGGGATCAAAGCAGTGTCTAGAGATGCTGTGGGATACAGATGATGTACATCCCATAGCTGTGGCCCCAGTGTTTGCAAACAACTCAGTAATTTCCCAGCATCTGGTGCTGATTTAGAGACTGATGCCTGCTTGAGATGTAGCAGCACAGCAGCCAGAAAATGGGAGACAGCAGCTCTAGCCCCTGCACTCTGCCTGCTTTCATACCCCAGAAAATCCAGGCATGCTCTAAAGAGCAAAAGAGAATTTTGTTGCTGCTGGCTGGGGAGCCCATAGATCTGTTGTCCCCATGTGCCAAGCCCTGTGTCCCTTCCTTAGCTGGGTTTTGCCTGACCAGAGGGTAGGGACACCCAGTTCTGGTGACCAGGGCAGCTGGAGGGCAGGAAAGGCACATCTGGTCCTCATCACTGCATCCTGCTGCTCATGGCCCTGGAGGGTGACCCTTTTCCTCTCTGATGTAAGGAGTCATAACCTGCCATCCATTTGGCAGCTGAAGATACCAAGGACAGGCAGGGGTCTGCACGCCACCACAAAACCCTGCCTGCCTGCACTGCACTGCTGGGGTGCCCCATGGCTCAGCTCCATGCCCCAGCAGCCTGTAAATGTGACACACAGGCCTTGGGGACCTAAAGGAAATAGAAAATTGTGTGCTTTGGAGAATAGAGATGGGTGGTGCTGGGGTGCTGCTCTCCCTGTTGCCAAAGGGGAGGATGCGCTGGTGCTGGACATGGGCAAACAGGGCTTTCCAGCAGACTGAGAAGATGCAAGGGGAGGGCTGGGGGGAGCAGCAATCTGGAATAAAGGAGAGGGATCCAGATGCCAAAATCAACTTTGTCTTCAAGCTGTGAAGGAGAAAAACAGGAAGGGACCATGAGACCAGTCCCAGTGCCGGCACCTCCCTGTCCCACTGTGGGGCCAGGGCACTTCCTCCAGGCTTGGGCTCTCTGGTGGCTCACACAGCCACTGAGCAGGAGGCTTCCTGCTGCAGGCTGGAGCCCTGCCTGGACGCACCCTGCCCCAAATAGGCAGAGGCACATCCAAACTTGCCTTTGATGCCGCATCCCCCCCTCCCCAGCGTGGGTGCTGTGCCAAGATCACCAGGGGAACTGGTACAAGCCAGGCCTGGAGATGCTGAGAATATGCCAGGTCCAAGCCGCCCGTGGACTGCATCCACATGAGGCAGGGATGGGTCCAGCTTCCTGGCATGGAACAGCCCAAGCCCAGCAGGAAGAAAGTGCAGGAGACCACGGCCTGGGGATATGCTTGCTTTAAGAAATTTCCATCAGCCAGTGCTGCACGCCAGGGAAGGTCCCCAGCACTGAGACACAAGAGATGTCCATACCCATTGTCTCCATCCAGCACAGGGTGGCCAGATCATGTCTCAGGCAGGGGCTTGTTTGGGAAATTCATAGCTTTGGCAAAAGCCTTTGCAGCAGGGCACTGGTTGTGGGCGGTTGTGCAGCACTGCCTGGGCTGTTTGACTGCCACCAACCCTGCCAAATTTCTGATCTAGCCCTCAGGACTAGCCTCCTCCTCTCCCTGCCTCGCTGCCAGGATCAGCCCGCATTTTGCAGGGGAGGAGGCGAGTTGCACAGGACTGTGAAGCAAAACAGTCTCAACTTACCTCTCATGGCTGCTTCTGCTTCCTTCTGAGCCAAATCCTGAGCCAAGGAAAGAAGAAAAAGCAGCTTCAGCAGAATAGCCATGAAACATACATCTGTATGTGTCATGAGATGATGTAGAGAGCAAAGGGTACATACACAGACAGTGGTTCAGCAGGGAGGGAAGGATGCATGGATTGAGGGAAGGAGACATACAGATGTATATGTGGATTTGTGGATCATTTGTCAGAGGAAGGAAGGGATAGATTAATTTATAGATTAATGTATGGATGGGTAGTTTGGACACTCGGTTACCATCCTAAGCATCAAAGATGCTCACTCTGCAGGGGCTGACTTGTGAAGAAGGATGAGAGGCCCATGGGCAGAGAGCAAGGATGTGACTGGGAACAAGTCCTGGGTGTGACCTAGGCACCCAGTCCTCATATAAGTGACATCACAGCTGACGTGAGACAGCTGTCACCAGTGGAGGTCCTGAGAGTACTGGGGAGAATGTGGGCCATCTCCAGAGGGATTGCATCCCCCTCAGGAGCCACTTCCATCTCACACTGCCCAGACACAGAGAGTGGGAACAGCAGGAACTGTGCCCTCAGACAGTCAATCCAAACATGAATGCTTTAAAAGTGTAGTGCTGAGCATTCACCCTGACCTTGGCTTTCATCCCACCTGCATGTGGATATCTCTACCTGGGAACTTGCTAGGGATACAAGCACTCAACCCATTAGAGACTTCTGCGATCCCCCATACTCCCTCTTCTTCATCTGCTTTCCTTTCTAGCTGCCACAGGCCTGAAAATTCCTTGCTTTTCTTTCCTGAAACAGGAGACATCACCTGCCGGGTCAGATGTGGAGAAGGGAGAGACCTGAGACATGCCTTACTGCTGCATTGTCAGCTTTTCCCTCCAGAAATAGGTTGTTTCTTTCTTTGCTTGCTGGGGCTGGCCCCTTCCCTGCCTCTAGGATGCTTTTGGTCTTTCACGGATGCCAAGCACCTGGCCACAGAGATGCTGGGAGGCAACAACTGTGAGGCACTGCTGCTCGTGATGCTCTTGGGAAATGGCTTCTCCCTGCTCCAATCAGCAGCAGCCCACGATTTTCCTGATAGCTTTTTCCTCTTTTTTTTTTTTTTTTTTTTCTTTTCTCTTTTTTTTCTTTTTTCCAGCACGGGGAACAGTCCTGTTATCCAAGGAAGGGTTCCCAGTGTTTTGTGTTCCTGCCCTGAAGTGTGGTGACACTATGGGACACATGTGCTCCCCATGCACGCATTTCTGCTGTACATTCCTCAGTACTGCCGTGCCACTTGCTCAGAGATGATCTCCTCCCTTCCCCGTGGCAGGAACTCCATCTTCTCCTCCAGCTGCAGGGACTAAGACAGAGCAGGACATGTTTTGGGAACTTCTCTGTGCAGCCTCTCTACCTGCTCTCTGCCTACCAGCTGTACCTTTTCCTCCCCTTCATTCCCTGCCACATCAGCTGCTTTGTCAGCGTGGCAGAATAAACAAGTAGAGGTTAGGGACAGCATGGCCCAGCCCTAAGCAGGAACTTCTGAACCAGCTGGGGCACTCCAGTGCTCTCCATGCTTCCAGGATTCCACAGAGCAGGCACTGGGCAGACAGAGCTCTGTACAGCTGCTCCTTTGTCTGCATCCCGAGTATGATGGACCCAAGTTAAATGCGCCTTTGGGAGTCTTGTGTGGTCTTTGCAAAGTCACATCACCTTCAAGCAGCTTCCAGCTTTTGTTCTCCATTGGGAGACCCACTAGATGTGGGAGCAGCGGAGCTCCACATGAGTTCTAGGCACTGGCACCAGCATAGTCACCTATGTGCTGATGGATCTGGAGGTCATAAAGTGCCAAAAGTGTCAGATCTGTCTGAGACCCCCTTCTGGGATGATGGCTGATCCCCAGGATGATCTGCAGGTCTTAAAGGCACTGAATGCCAGAGGAAAGCTAACCTGCAAAGTGCTGATCACTAGAAATATGCTGACCTGGAAGGCACTGATGCCAGAGAGGATGCTGACTAGGAAGGTGCTGATTGCCAGTGGAGTGCTGGAGATGCCAGCCTGGAGGGCACTGATCCCCAGGAGGATGCTAACCTGGAAGACAGATGCCTGGGAGGATGCCAATCTGGAAGGCACCAGTCCCCAGGGGTTTGCTGATCTGAAAGGCACCATTTTTCCACAACATGGTGCTTTTTCACCTACTACAGAGCACTGCTTTCAGCTCCCCACTTACACCCGGCAGCAGGTCGGCCAGGGTCCTCTGCAAGGGCTTGGGCTAGGGATCCACACTCAGGGAGGCATCTTTGGCTGACGGCAAAGAGCCTGGCGAGCTGCCTGAAG